GGGAAACTTTCAGCAGCCTGCTGGGGACCTCGTGGAGGCTGTTTATACCACCTCCTCCTTCCCGTACCCCACACACACAGCCCTGGGAGACCTACACAGCATCCTGAGACCCCTCATACCCCTGGTCAGACCCTGCACAGCCTTGGTGAGCAACAAAGTATGTAGCTTTATATTATTCTGCATTGCTGGGATTTGTAGTACTCTATAGCTTGTGGCATTCTGCATAGCTGTATAATGCATTGCTGGGGTTTGTAGTCCTCTATAGCTGGTGGTATTTTGCATTGCTGTATAAAGTATTGCTGGGATTTGTAGTGCTAAATAGCTGGTGGTATTCTAAATTGCTGTATAATGTATTGCTGAGACTTGTATTCCCTCTACAGCATGGAGTCAGCAGCAAAACTATCAGGGAGCAGTATTTGTAGCTTCAACTGGGCCCTGGTGCTGCTCCTACTGTCCTAAAATCATTTGTCTGTATTGTTTTATAAAAACTGTCACATAACAATAAACAAAAAGTTATTGGTAATTGGTATCGGCGAATACTTGAGGAAAAGTATCGGTACTCATACTCTGTCTTCAAGAAATGTATTGGTGCATCCCTAATTTATAGGAAATGGAAATGGTTTACTCAAGATACTCCACTCTGTTGGTCTTTTGGTAGCTTGTCTGCAAAGGTAAGTAGGGCTCACCTTTTTACCCTCATTCAACAATAAATTTCAGAATTTTAAAAAGGAAATAGTCCTTGGAAGCTGTGCCCGAAAATGCAAGTGGAGGGCAAACGACTGGTCGCCAGTAAGGCTTCTTGCTGCTAATCTTTTACCCATTAGTAACTTACCATGCCTTGTCCTGCAATTTGTCGCCCCCGTGATGGACTATAATTTCAATGCAAATTAGTCAAACTAAATGTGGAATTATAGTCTATCATGAGAGCGAGCTTGGAGCGGTGACTAGTTTACAACACACACAGGGACCTTGGGGAACAAAAGTAGCCACGCTCCAGAAGGAAGGACAGTGTCAGCACCAATTCAGAGATGATTTGAGCATCTAAAGCGAAATGATGCACAAACAAACTACATTTTTGTTAATGGTTAAGGTACGTCAATGCATTTTTAAGATTTAACTCTTCAGTTTAGTGTCACTTTAAGTGCATGGAAAAAAAATAATTGCGCATTATTGGAAGATGGAGGTCAGCAGAGTATTCACTAAGCTAAGCAAATATTCCCTTACAAAGAAAAAAAACATATTTGCCTTTATAAAATTAACACAGAGTCCTAAGATCTGATCCTGCTGCTATCCATTTGTGATGCAGTAGACACTGTCACATGCAAGGAAATGTACTGCTATTTTTCATGAGGAATTCAAGATAAAAGGTGAATCTTTCACTGTTTAGGCACAATTAACATTTCTAGATAGCACATTTTGAGTCCAGGTCCACTTTAATGGAAATCTTCCTTTTGGTCTGCTTTAGTGGTTGGCAGGGACTGAGAACATGTTTTTACTTCTATAGATCTTAAAACCTTAGGTTCTGTTTTTTTAAAAGCACAGCAATGAAAAAAAGAAAATGTAATGTTAGCACAGCATTCATCTGTTGGAAAGTGTCTTGCTGTCTTTCAGAACCTGCAATTTTATAGATACATTTGTGAGAACAATCCATTTTGAGCCTCAGTTGAAAAATATTACATTTAATAAATCCAAGAAAATAAACAAACATGATGCATGGCCAGAGCTTCAGCTTGGAAGGTAAGAAAACAAATAATGATGTGCACATCATCTTCAATGCTGCTTTTTTCCTCCATGTACTTTTATATGACTTGTATAAATCTATTTTCAACATGGACCTCAACAGGAGTGAAGATAAAATAGAATTTTAGACTGTAAACTGCAGGAGGTATTGCCAAGAGATCAGATGTAGCAGGGAATGAATACATTTACTTTGTTTGAAATTACATTATCACATCACTGTGAGAATACAGTGCCATTCCAATTTTTTCTTCAATACTGCCTAACCAGATACAATATTTCAGAGATATAGGCGTTAAAAGTGGTGAAACTAAACGATTATCAACTCTATGAGCCAGTCATGGGTAGATCTGCTGCACTCATCCCCCTTTTTTTTATTTGGAGACAATGGCCTACACCTAAGGGCACATGAAAGGGAACCTGTCATGAAAGAAATACATGGGCAGCCATTGCTGAACCTTTCCTGAAAGTACTTATCGAATGGTGATGCTTTGCGGCAGTTTTACAAGTCACAAAGAAGCATTTTGCAAGTGAAATAACAGCTGCCCTGGACAGGTTTCAGGTCAGTGAATTAAAATGTTGAAGGCCAAGGATTAGAATGATAACCAAGCAACTAGCATGTTAAGGCGAATGACCACAACTTATTATGTCATGACCGTTTTCTTTAAAAATAATAATTCACAAGGAATATACTTTAAAGCGTATTTCTACTTTTGCAGCCAAATTGGCATAACATCTATTTATAATTGTTAAATGTTCCCATTCACATAGCATACGCTAAAACAAATGTTTAGGGTTAATTAGGATTTCTTGGCTTCTTAAGGGTTAACATTTCTACTTGCTTCTCCTTCTTTTGTAATTTTAGGAAGGGTTGTGAGGGGTGAGGGATTTGTTCATTATAGTTTGCAAAGTAGATTTGAGCGCTGCTTCTCCTAAAAAGGATTGAAGGATTACAGCCCCGGCTTGTGCATTGTATGTTAATGAAACACAATCCTAAACTTTCCATCCTAAGTCTTTCTGTAAGGACTGATCATTGTGAGGGTGTTAAGAAAAACATGTAATTAGCCATCTTGCCTGTCCTGCAGCAGTAAAAGTGTGTTTTTTTTGTGTGAATAGGAACACATAACAAACATATAGAGGGGTTTTCTCACATATCTATTAGAATTTCTGTCAGAAAAAGAGTGCCTTTGACGTCTACTTGCTAGAAGTAAGAACACAATATGTGTTTCCCTTAGCAACCTATCTGAATGCATCTGCCACATTTTGAAAGCATATTGTAACATAGCAGCTGGACTCTGAAAAAAATGGCAGTTGCCGTTAAAAACCAAAGTCAGAGTTGAACCATGTATAATGAACACCACTGTTGGCTGGAGGTAGTCATTCTCATATACAGAGATATTTTTAGCAAAATCTTCTTGGCCAATGTGTCACTCTTCTGTGGAAAAGAATAAGGCCTTGTTCACACCAAGCGCGTTCCAGGAGCAGAGCAGTTACAGACCGGAGAAAAACTGCGTCCAATGCATTCCAATGGTATTTTTAGCTCCAGTTCACATTGCAGCGTTCCGTTCCAGAGCAGGTCCAGAGCAGGTAAAAAAAACTGCAGCAGGCCCTATTTTACCTGCTCTGGAACTCATGCAAACGCATCAAAAACGCATGCAAACATCTGGAACACACTGAAAGCCCATTTTAAACTTAATTTTTTTTTTTTTACCAAAAACGGCCCGGAACGCATAAAAAATGTTGCACAAACCACTGCACTGCGTGTGCAGAAACTCATGCAGATCTGCTCTGCATTTGGTGTGAACAAGGCCTGAGGCTCTAAGTTCCTTGTGTGCCATTATCATTTTTTGTAAAGTATTGCGGTGGTTAGTTACTTCAGGATAGATGATTATCTCCCTGGCCTGTGTTTTGTTTGGTTGTACTGGATGGACTTTTTTCAGTCTGACTATGTATGTAACTATATATCACCCTATATAATATTATTATTATCATTATTATTATAAAGGATTTATATAGCGCCAACAGTTTGCGCAGCGCTTTACAATATAAAGAAGACATTACAATCACAATACAATTCAAGACAAGATGGTAAGGAGGATATCTGTAAGTACACAAATATTGAAAAGTTCTCGTTTATTTTCATTTTTTTTACAGTGTTAAAATGACATGCAAAAAACTGTTACTTTGTTAAAGATACACATCATTGGGCAATTCATTTTGTCAAAATAAAAACAATGTATTACTGAAACAACAATATGGATACAAATAACTGCAAAACTGGATTTTGTAATAAAATATAAAAATCTACAATTATAAATATAAATTTGGTCCATGGAGTACCTAGAACAATATTTACAGTACTTGTTAGATTACTACATTACTACCTTCTCAGGTTGGTATGCGTTCTTATTTCTTGAAATGGTAAAAGTACCAAGAACGATGATATTTACATTCCTGTAGTAAAACCACTTACAAAATTCTAACATACTAAGCGTTATCACATCTAAGTGTTACATAAAACATGTTCTTTTTGGAAAAGCACATTGCTATAAATACAAATAGCTGAGAGCGTAAAAAATCACTAGTAGAAACTAATACTGAGTAAATATAGCACAAAATCCATTCATAAAAAACACTGTGGGTGTTGGTGAAGTTTTCTTTCTGTGATGGATGGATCTATGTCTTCCAAAAGGCACACATTATTACTTGTAAATGAGAGGCAGTAGTCATTTGTTACAAACAGTGCTGGAAGAATATTAGAAAGATATATACTGCAAGTGATCAGTTCCTTCCACAGTATTGAAGCGGAATTAAACCCTGAACACTGCTGTCATTAAAAGTCACAACCTCATTGGTAAAGATAAAAGAGTGCTTAGTAACCAGTGAATAAACCATTAATACGAAGCTTATTGTGTATCTCTTAGCGATCTTTTTCGCTTCCCTTAACACTAAAGCCAGTGCCACCTTACAAGTGGTCTGGCGTTTGTTTTACCTAACTGCTTCTATCTCAAATCACGCTGTTCATGAATCTCGCACATGCCCATACCAGGAAGGAAGCATACAATATCCGGTAGGAAAAGACTCGTGAGAGCCTTGTTGGAGATGAGTGCTGGCGTAAACAAAGGCAAGGCCATCTGCAGATTCCGGCATGTCCGTGATGCTGGAAATCAGAATAAAATTGCAAATGTGCAAGTGACATCACAGCTAACAATTATAGTGATATCCAAGGCAGGGAAAACCTGTGGAGGATTTAATGCCTGTCTACAGTATGTATGGAATCTATGTTTGCTGAAAAGTTACAAACTTGAGTTTAATTACGCTTTAAAAACTGAGCCATGACATAGCATGTGGTTCATAATTATACCAAAGACTCTAAGCTTTCTAAAGTATTTCCATCAGGTAGCGCAGATCCATTACTCTCCAGACAAGCCGCTGGACTCTCTTCTTGCCGGCTGCTTACAAGACTCAGAATAGCCTTATATAAGAACTGATACTGGTCCTAGAAGTAAAAGAAAGTGGAAAAATAGATAAGGACAGCAATATTTGTTATTACAAAACCACTTCATTGGCAAAATTAGAGATGAAGTACTTATTGTCGGTTTTATCAGGGACAGTCCTTGGATTTGAACATTTGTACTAGAAAAGACGTCTGTTTTTTCATTTTACCTTTAGAGTTCTGTTCCGCTCTTTAGTCTCATGCCACTGAGCAATTTCACTTCTTCTTGACAAGCACAATATTTGGAAACACATTGCTTTCAATGTGATAAATTGATTGTGGACAAAGGGTTTTTGTGCAGCAGCATGAGCATGACATTAATATTACCCAGCGAGTTTAGTCTTTAAAATCCTCTTTATCTGAATTGCATTGAATTCTCATATTCTTAACAGACCTGAGTCAGTTAAGAATCTTGAAAGTACATTGTTTTTGATTAACCACTTTTAAGAATACAGTACGGATTTGCTTTATTGATTAAAATAGTTTTAATACTATATTACACATGACCATGTTACGTGTTACCATTGTATACGCAGTTATGATTACCACATATTTATTCTTGAAAATCCTACATTTTATTAATGATATCCATTTAATACTTTTACTTTAAACAAGTCTAATAGATGAATTATCTAGCCAGCTTAGTCAATATGACAAACAGCAAGGGGCTGTAACCCATGACAACCAATCTATATACCCTTAAGACTTCTGAAATCAGTGAATTAAAATCAAATTGTTATCTGGTTGATATAGTGACTTCATTTCAAGCTTCTGTTTTTGTCTTTGCAATAACCTACTAAATATCTACTACTTCTCCCCAGGAATTCGTTTTACATTGTACAAATATTACGTCTAATGTTAGCGCACTCCTGATTGGGGGAGGTGGGGGTGGGCTGCTCCTAATTATCTTAGACCGAGGTGTCTAATATGTATGATTAGGAACAAGGAAGAAAACAGGAGCAGGAGTCCTACTACCTGGCACAGATGTGTAGACAGGGATACAAGTGTATTGGCAAACAAGTGGTAGACTGTGGTGGTATTTTTCCATTGTTGAATAATTATGTTACCATAATCAACTGGTGGAAATCACAGCAAGGAAACCCTAAATGGCCCAATAATAACAAACAATGCTTCTGATTTGAGCTTCACTTGTAATGTTCTCCTTAGAGGGCAATAATACATTCTGCTGTTGCCTGGGGGTGCTCATTCCTTTATACAGAGATTTTTCAAGCCTAAAATCTTCTTGGCCAATGTTTCACTCGTCTTTGGAGAAGAATAAGGATCTAAGTTCCATGTGTGCCACTGTCATTTTTTGTAAGTATTGTGGTGGTTAATCATTTCAAGAAAAGTGATTATCTTCCTGGCCTGTGTTCTCTGGCAAATATATGTACATCAATAGGCAGCATAAGCCATTTAGGATAACTGCCTATGATATACAGACAATTCTTGAGGTATTATATTTCTGCTCAAACAGGGGTGTGAAAATTAAAAAAGAAAACTACTTGTCCAAGGACTAAAGTGGGGGCCCGATCTACTTGTCCCTCGTGACAATCTACGTACTTGTCGTGATACAAAAATGAATCTTAACAAAAACTGTATTTAACAGTGCTAATTTGCAAGCGAAATTCAGAATACATGGCACAGGGCAACACTGGATGGCAGTATGGGGTACTGTATGGGCTGCTGCCCAGCTACAACAATATGGCACACAGTGGAATGGGGGCAGCACTCAGCGTACACACACACCAAGCCCTACATGTGAGTGCGTATTATCTTTTCCTTTTATTTTTTATTTATTTACTTTTAATTTACTTTTTTAATTAATATTTGTTATTTTTATACTTTAATTTAATTTTTTACTTTTTATCACATTATTTTTTATATTTCTTTTTTTTTCTTTTCTGATTATTGATTGTTATTTTTTACACTTGTAAATAAATTTTCACTTAACTTTATTGCTATTACACAGGAGCTTACAAGCACCTGTGTGATAGCATTCAGAGGTGACAGGTTCCCTTTCTTTTAACCTGTCGCCTATAACTCCTGTAACAGCTGAGATGGGAAGGCTGCGAGTGCAGCTCTCTTGTCTAAGTGTTTACACAGAGCAGAGCGGATTAGGACATTCTCCGCTCTGCTCCCCGATCTCCAACCTGATCTAATTTGCTGTGGTCCCGAGTCTCCCAGAAAAGCAGGAACTCCGAAGACCACAGAGGGTAGGGAGCCAGCGAGTGGGGAGGGAGTCGGCGGGCGGTGACCGAGATGGCGGCCGGGGAGAGATGCAGATGGCTGTACAGCCGCTCGAGATAATTTCTACAAAATGGCTCCCCCTCTACATTTAGCCCTGCTGCTTGCCCGAAGCAGGGCTAAATGTAGAAAAAACTGCCTGCCCGGTGCTTGGAACTGTATGTCTCGTGCATTGGGCGATAGGAATTCCACATCCCTGTCAAACATTAAAGTGTATGCAAACTTTAACAATTAACTTCTCTTATATGCTCTTAACATTGTTATTGATTTCAGTCCAGTACACATGAAGTTACATATATGATGAATGTCTATCCTGAGCAACAGATATTCTCTGTACTGTCAGAAACTGTACTTAGACTGAAAAAAAAAAATAACACAACAAACACATCTAACGGCTGGTAATGCAATATATTACATTTTTGTTCTTGGGTTTAGATATTTTTACAATGTAAGTCATGTATTAAAAGAACTTCACACAGACCATCAGCCATGCTGGGGGCAAGAGAACAGCTCCCCAACAGGGTCACAAAAAGCAGTAAGCATGCAGTAAATGGATCAAACGTTGCCCACTCCACCCAAAAAATAACAAAAATGCTGTGATGGAATTTTACTTTACCAAGAAAAGTTAATTTTGTGTTTCAAGACTCAAACTGAGACCCTAATAGATTGCTATATTTATACCATAGATACAAAGCTCCACAAAAATAGGCACATAGTGTTGTTTTTAATAGTAAATTAGAAAGACTGTATTATATATTTACTCACTATGTCTGAAAATAGTCCAGGTCGCATCAGATTAATCATCTTGGTCACTTGATAAACATCAACAGAATTTTCTTTCTCCAACTGATTCATGAGGGTGGACAATGCACAGAATGTTCCTGCTGTTACCCCTCCATATCTGAAAGAAAAGGACTTCCTTGTAAACTGCTACCATGTAGAATATACAGTATGTGCGCATGTATATTCCATGAAAGCTACGTAAATAACTAGTAAGAACAATAACAACTTATGCTCTACTGATTTGAAAAAATACATTATATACTTATAAGAGTTCAAGTGATCCAATAGCCTTTTTATTCGATTTGTAAAAAAAAAAAAGAACTAACATTGGCTAAATTGTAAATTTTATAAAAAAAAGCTATATGTATGTACATGGGGGTGGCCATATTTGCTCATGACATGACATGAGCATTTCCTATTAAATGGTCTTAATATCTATGTTTAGTTCTTCATAGAATTATTTACTCAAGTTTTATTCTTGGTTTTTGACACTAATGTTAGGAGGCAGGATGCTCAGGTTTGGTGAGGCGTTTCAAACACCATGTCTATTACATAAGCAGGCTCTGGTTCCTGTGATCCTCTATCCTGTAATTTTTTTTCACTTAACTTTATTATTATCACATAGGGGGCTAAGAATCCCCCTATGCGATAGCAGAGATGTGACAGGTCCTCTTTATGGAGACATCAGGGGTCTTTCAGACCCCCTAATGTCACCTAGGGACCTCCAAGGAAGCGGATGGAGCAGAGATCTGCTTCACTAGCTTCTCTGGAGGTTCTGTTGCCAGAGAGTGACAGCAGAATGCGGAAGTGATGTAATATACATCACTTCCGCATTCTGACACGGAGAGGAGCTGAGCTTGGAGGGAGATTGTGTTCTGATCTAACTGCCTGTTTGTAAATTATGACAGTTTCCCCCGTTGACGCGCAAGTGTCCACTGTCAAAATATGTCCTGTCCTGAAGTGGTTGCAGTTGTGTTCTTGGTATTGTTTTAAACAGCAGGCAATTGCTGTTCAGATACAAGTGATACCCGGGCTCCGCTGTCCCCCATGCAGGCCCGGGACCGTCACGGCGGGTCTCCCACATTGATTGGAGGGAGATCAGCAAGCTTCCAGCCACTCTTAGAGCCAGGATAAGAAGCTGGTAAAGCAGATCTCTGCTTCATCAGCTTCTTTGGGATCCCTAGGTGACATTAGGACGCGTCAACATGCAACATGCAAAAACGAAAATTGTGCCACACATATTACATATGGTCATGAACGTCAGAGTGAGAGCAATAATTCTATGGCCATCAATCACTGTTAACACTAAATAATGAGCAGCAAAAGCTTTTAAAGCATCGTCTACAGAAAATGATGGGTATTGTAGTTTGTTGCGGTTTCACGGGCGAACGCAATTTTAAAGTTGACATGTTTGGTATCTATTTATCCAGGGTGACCCCGTCTTTTATACTTTACCATTTTGGGGGGTATTATATTCTTTTTCTGTGCACTCATTTTCATTTTAGTGTATTTTATCCTAAAAATAATGGTTTGATAAACATTTGGGCAAATACTGTGAGACAAAAAAAATTGCAACTAGCGTTTCTTTATTCTGCATGGCCTCTGCTTTCAGAAAATATATAGTTATTTGAGGGGTCTTAAGCTGTTTTTCAGCCAAAATTTCAGATTTTATCATGTGTGTGCAAATAATAAGAAATTGCTCTGGACCACAAGTGGTTAAAACAGTTTGATCCTACTTTATTCTTCACTGTTAGAGCAACTAATCCTACAATGAAATATGACAATACATTATTTGTTAACCTGCTTTATCTTGTTTTCCAATAGTTTTTTTTCCCAATATAGATTGTTAGGTACTTATCTGAAATGACCACCACACATTACCTCTTCCCATTAATACTGCATTGTTATCTACTTGCAACTCACACCACAAGACATCATTTTTATTATTCAGATACAAGATGATTCCCCATCCAATATTTTATCTTACAATCCTTTCCTAAGATGGAATACATATACAATGCTATAGTGTTCATTTAGAACAATAAATATACGGTTAATTTTACACGGCCTTACTTACTCGTCATGTACAACAATAGGCCCATCTTTATTGGCTGCTTCTTCTTTGATCAGATTTATAAGTTCAAATGTCTTACTTATTTGACTGTCAGGATTTGGCCACTTTGGACAATGGAAATGTTTAACTTCCAGCACATAGTCATCCTACATAGATGATAAAGAAACTCCAATGAATAAGGTACACTTTATGACTGGCAGTTAACCAAATAATATGTAAACCCTTTACATGAACCCTTTTTTCATATCTATTTACAACATTTATGTGCAAATTCAGTGTTTTATGTTACTGTTTCTGGTACAATTCTAATCATTTATAACATGTATTAGGTTATACTTACTTGGGTAGCTTCTAAAATAAAATCCTGGATTATCATTCTTTCCTCATTTGACAGACAGATATGGTCCTCCCCTACCATGCTCACTGTAAAATTTTCACAGGCAATGGGTTCATCTTTGTTTGGCCAGTAAACAAATTCAGCTTCAGCCTGGTAAAAGAATATTCATTATAAAAAGTTGTAGAAATTATTGCAAAAATACATAAAATCCATCTGCATGTTTAAAGGTGAGGCGAGAACATTAAATCTGAACTCCAATAAGATGTAAAAAGGACACAATTAAGTCCACATATGTAGCAGTTACATTAAAATAATTCAATGAGTTTTACAGTGATAGAATACGAAAAATAATTAACATAAAATCCTCTGCACAGCAACAATGAAATTTAAAGTGTAGGGTTAGCAAACTAAGCAAGTTAGACTCTATTGCTTTTCTCACAGCTGAACATCTAAATTTGTAAAAATACTAAAAGTAGGAGAGCACACATGGATGACTTCATCAGAATCACTGTCCAATCACAGGCTGGGGTAAGTCCTGGGCCAACCTATATTGCTTTACTGCAGTGCTTTCTGTAGTAATGTGCAGGACCTGGCTGTACTGTTTGGCAGGAGACTTGCAGTAAAAACAGTTCAAATGTATGTATTTAAATTGTGTATTTGTTTGGTTTTAAGGGCGGACTCGGTACAGACTGCCAATGTACTTTTTTAATCTCAACAATCTGAAAGTAAAACACTTTCTTAAGAACAACACAACACATCTTTCCACTGCATTGTTTATTCAACCCTTATTAATTACTTCAAATGTCCAAATGAACAATCTTCTTTGTTTAGAAGGAGTAAATGATGCTCACCTAGCAAATGTGTCCCAGCAAGTGAATGTCCATGGTGTAAAGTGAATATTTTAAGTAAAATGGACATGGGTTCACTTTGAATACTCATGTGCAAAGGAGAAAAAAAAATCATGCCAATCAATGATTTGGCATTCAATGTGAAACATTTACTTTGAAAAGTGAGAAGTCTGTATTCTAGTATTCTATATAGTTAACCAAATGCACTTCCAACAATAAGACTGGAATCTTACCATATTTGGGTTATCCACAAACATTACAATTGTCTGTGAATTGTGATCCCAGATCATCCTCCAGAAATCTTTGATGGTATGCAGTAAGGGATGCTGAGTGATTATAAACTCATTGCTTTCATGATACCCCTGAAGAAAGAGTTGAATTTTTTATTTACAGTTATTTACAGGCACACGCATGGAGTTGTTACTTATAAGCATATGTTACATGAAATATATAACTTATATAGTTATATATTATATAAAGGGAACCTGTTGTGACAGAAATATGGGAGCTGCTGCTAATGACAGTGATGATTTTGAAGGTGCTTGTCATCTTTAGCCGTACCCACTGTGTTGTATATCACATAGCCCTGTCTGCTGCACTCTGTATGTTCAATAGTTGTGAGCGCTGCCGCTCTATATGGTACATAGTCCTGACAACTACGCTCTATATGCTATATGGTACATTAAGTATTCCTGACTTCTGCATTTCACACATTATTTTCTATGTTACATAGTCCTGATCCCTTTACTGTGTACCTTATGTTGTATGTTACATAGTTCTTACCAAAGTGTTCACTGTTTCAGCAGTTGCTAATGGGTCCACAATGGTTTTAACCACGTTCTTTTTTAAAGTGGAAGTAAAGTGTCCTAAATTAAAAATTGCAGACAGGTAGGTTTTTTTTAATAGAACAAGAGACCGTGTAAGTCCCTTCTGCCAAGCAATTTTCTTTTTTTTCTGTGCACAGACCCTGCATGCCGAGATGAAGTAACTCCTGTGCACATGTGCAGGAGTTACATTATGCTGGCTGGCCATTCAAGAGGCTCGAAAACCCTGAACCTGGAAGAAGTTCTGAAGTGTCAGACACCTCGGCCCGCCCCTCCTCTTTTGAAGTGTCGGACAGCTCGCCCCGCCCCTCCTCTTCTGAAGCGTCGAACACCTTGGCCCACCCCTCCTCTTCTGAAGTCTGAAGGGAGACAAGTGAATTAAAGGCAGGGGTGAGGTGTTCTGAGGAGCAGAACACAGGGAAAAGGGGTGAGAGGCCCTGATATGGTTTGGGATATGTACACAGAAAGAGGTGAGAGGCTGTAGGAGTTGCTGATAGAGAGAACAGGTGGGGTTGGGTTCGTTATTGAGGTGTAATCGATATGACCTGTGTCTGCTGGAGGGTAGATCTCTATGGCTATGCATGCTCTCCACAGATACATTCACCACTGTTGGCAAAATTCGCACTGCCCCAAACAGGAAACTGCAATCCAGCTTTAAATTATTAGGTTTATTCAATAAGAGGATACATGCAGTAGTCCCAGTAAGCATTTTAATGTGTTTGGTTTTCAAATACAGGTGTGTTTTTTATTGGTAGATCTCCTTGAGCTCATCATTTGAAAAGTAGATCTTAAAAGAAAAAAATGTTGGCACCCCTGGTATACAGGTTAAGTCTGCCATAATGTCCTAAAATACTGTGCATACTAGCACATTATTGCAGACACTTATGGAGGGCTTTTAAAAAAAAACAACCCACTTTACTTCTGCTTTAAGGTAGACACTCTGCCTCTGAAACTCACATGTGGCACTCTAATTAGGGCATATTTTGAGAGTGTAAGTACTGTAGTATATGTGTGCAGTCCATACAGTAAACAGACTTGGGTTCTATTTAATCATTTCCCTTTAAGCTGGTCTAACTCTTAGGTGTCATCGGGCTATGTTAATGTGGTTTGCTATGTGTGCCATATAATTACTTGCCTCAAAGTACCCCAGTGTGCCACTTAAAGCCCACTGACGTGTCCCCCCCCCCGCCCCCCTAGGGCCAAATTTTACTTACCATGATATATGATGCATTAATGTAATCTATTCCGTCTCCAACCAGGGATGGCAGTCCTACTCTTGATTGCTCAACTGTGAAATATTAAATAGCAAAACAGTTACTGTAAGAAGCAGTGCTGGATTTACCACTAGCTACATCAGGTCTGTGATTCTACCAATGCTGTCTATGTATGATAATTAATAATAACATAGACATGTCAGATGTAACATGCTGTGATTTTGAATTACTTACACTTCCTGCTTTGAAAGTGCAAATTACTTCAGTTGGGCAAAGCAATGCACACTGGGATTGCCTTGTCATCAGCAGAGCATTGATAGGAAATCTCATCTGTAATCTCACGAGATCTCAGGGAAAGGCATTTTCCCTCCCCTGAGATGATGTGCATGGTCACATGTCCTAGTCACATGTGCCATAAACCCAGGAAGTAATAGGAGAGCTAGTAATCTGCCCTTAGTAAACATGGCCACGGTCAGAAGGAAAGAAAAACAAGGTATGCAAAGAATACCAAGCCTGCAGTTATCTAGTAGTATGTGTTTGTAGATTGTCATTACTAAACATTTCTAAAAGTGTGTTTGTTGTTATTTTAAAGAGATGGGTAAAGGTCCGCTTTAAATAGATACAACAGCAATGCCCTAATCTGATTCGTTAAAAAAAAAATTTTTTTAGGTTGTTTTGGCTGAGACGCCAGATTTTTTATCCAGTGGTAATAGGCCTGAATTGAATGGGTGGAATTAGTAGCCGCAACAGATCTAAAAGCTATAGGAAAGTTTGGTACTTTGTCACAATTAGACAGTGGCAACATATATTCATAGTAAAACTTTTTTTTTTTTTGCAGTATCACATTTTATTGTAAAAGTTTAATAAAATGTCAAAACAGAGTGCACAAAAAACATTTCAAAACCACAACCCCAGAGTGCAGAGACCATGTGGTCTATATTCTAAAATAAACATTAGAGTGTAATATTTCATACATAATAACCAACCATATAGCGGGTGGCTGGAGAGTATGTAAGCAGCTTGATTAGAGGGAAAGACAAGGTCATTTTTACCATGCAATAGAAATTAGAGTGTATTATTTCAGTGGCAACAGCCACAAATATTGTACAAACTCAATGCACACTATGGGACTGATTTATAAATGTGTTCATTGCTCCTCAGCACCATTTAGGGGTGCTGGGCTAACGGCATTCCCTCAGCTATATGCTGGGCAGAACATTTATAAATCAGCCCCTATGTAAGCATCTGTTGTATGTCCAGCTGCAGAAAAATTATGCGTGGCACCTTTACAGTGCTTGAGTACTGGAATATTGCAGAGGCTGCAGGCGTTAGTAATGGCGGAAGACCAGCAAGTTTGCAGGAGTTGGTAGAGATGGCAGGCCAGCAAGGTTGGCTGGAGCTTGTAATGGTGATAGGCTAGTAGAGGTGGAAGGAGATGGTAATGGTGGCAGGAGCTAGTAATGGTGTCAGACCAGGAGAGGTGGTAGTAGCTGGTAATAGTGGTAGTCCATCAGCTGTGGCAAGACTGGTACAAGACAACAGAAGGGCAACAGTGCAGTGTCAGATTCCTTGCATCACCTTTCAACATCTCGTGGAGTCACGAGGCGGCCAAACAAAGTCATCTCGTGGCCCAACGAAGTACTGATGGGGTGGTCATAATAATCTGGCCACTCAGTGTATATATATAAATATATATATATATATATATACACACATGCACACAACAAAGTTTAACAAAGAACACTCTTTGCTGGTCATTGATATGTTAAAGGAAAATTGAATCAGCCATGACAGGATGAAGTAAAAACATTTCCTTAGATTTAGATGTTTACACAAACACACATATCCAAAAGACAACAACTGTATAACCACACACCGGGTATGATGGAAGACGTTCTATTTTTATCCCTGTTTTGTGCCCTTAATGCTGTGGAGTAGTCACACTGGAGGATGTTGGGTTCGCTTAGCAACTGAAAGGACAACAGAAAAGTTTTTATTCAACAATAAGCTAAAAGGAAAATGTTCTAGGAATCATTAAGGTAGCTGTAAGATATAATAATCCATGCCAGATTCAGCTGTATTCTACTTGTTTTAGATGAAAGAACATGACATGAGGTTACTAATAAAATTAATGACTACATTCTCCCATGAATGAAGGTCATTTTTAATTGCAATTTCCTATATTGACAAGTGTTTATTAAAGTCTTAGATTGTCTCTCGTGCTCTCAAAATTGGCCACAAGACGTACAATGTCTGTTTTATAAGGTTACGCTGTTCAAGGTTTCTTCTTTAAAAAAAAGGTTGCCTTTCTTTCAGAGCACATTCGGCTAATAAATAAGAAGGAATGCGCTTCTGTTTTCCATTCATTCAGGAAGAATCGGTTCTTATTATGTACAGAGTGTCATTTTATCAGACTCTTCTGTCAGTAATAATGTGTTGTAGAACATACTAGAATGTCCAATACTAAATTTATGATTAGGCCTTTTTACAAAGCTCAAGGTAAATGCACTAAAGCTGCAAAATTATATTAGAACATCTACATTTTGTCCTCAAGAGAAGTATTCACATAAAATAAAGGAATGTACAAAATACCATTGATTCAGGGTTCATGAAATAGTACACGACTTACCTTGAACTGCATCTCCAGTCTTGTTTTTCCAGATGGGCCCGTTGTTAGAAGAGCATTAACATAGGCATGAATGTGATTCTCTGGTACCTCTGTTTCTCTGCTCAGAATAGCCTCCACTAAAGCATCGTGAATGAAGATATACTGCTCCTAGATGTGTTCACAATAAATATTAAATCCTTTTTGTCTGAAATAATGTAGCATTTAAATGATCAAAAAGATTACAAAGAATTTTAGGGAGTGAAATGTGGAAAAGGGTATCATACACAGTTTACTGAAATTCAGGATTCCTTTTGGTCAAAATAATGTAAACACAGTTTGTCCATTTAGTGGTGCATTAATCACTGTTGTCTTTGGTACCCATATATTTTATTCATATATTTAGAATGCTCTATTATTTTTCATGAAGTAAAGCTACAGGGCTGTGGAACATTTGTAAAAAAAATGACTTTTCCAAGGACTAAAGTGGGGGCCCAATCTACTTGTTTTAACCAAAACCGCATTTAACTGTGTTAAGAAGCACTTCTCATTGGTCAGCGCGATCACCTGACCACAATGACTAACGCTTGCTTGCAATTTGCTAACGAAATGCTGGACGGCAGTATGGGGTATAAATAGTACACCAGTACTAGTGAAGGAGGAGGATCATCCACCAAAAGGTAAGTATAGTGGGGGAAGGTGGCCAGATTTAAGCGGGTAATTCCATTTTCCTAAATTACTTGGGAAAGTGAACTTACCACATTGTGTGTGCCGAGAACGCTGCTGCCTGGCTACCACAGCCCTAGGCGTGCATTTAATTGCATGCATTTTGCTCCTGTGTCACTGATCACATAGCCGATAGGAGAATGGATGTTCTCAGGTCTGCTCCCCGCTCTCCGTCCTGAAATTATTGCCCTGGTCCTGGGAACCCTAGAGGAGCAGGGACCCCAAACATTTTTTTAGGGGGGGGGGGCGGCGGGGGGAGGGAGAAAGAGGCTGCTATACAAGTGATCTAGGAGGCTGTACAGCCTTGCACAAAAACAAGCTGCGGCTTCCCCCGCTCCACATTTTGCCCTGCTGCGTGCCCAAAACAGGGCTAAACGTAGAAAAAAATCCTCACACATCGTACGCGGAACTGTATGTCCTGGCATCGGCGATATGAATTCCGTACCCCTAAAGTCAACAGCTTATGGCACAGTAAGATGAGTATTAATAATGGTATGTATGAACAATGTATATCTAATTAGTGAAATAAGGGTAAAAATGATCAGTTGATTTCTGGTTTCAAAATGTCCAGTCACTTTCACCAGCCCTTCTGGCTTTAAAATATCCAGTCACTTCTATGACTCCTGCCTCCCACTGATGTTATCATTGTTCACCTACAGCACCTACCGTGTTTCCCCGAAAGTAAGACACTGTCTTATATTTTTTTGGGCTCAAAAAAACACATTAGGTCTTATTGTCGGGGTAGGTCTTTTTTTTTTAATGTACAACAATCCTCACTTATTCATGTACAACAGTCTACATGTATTCATGTACAAAAATATGGTGATCAGGGCAATCAGGGGTGCCGTACCTTTCCAACAGCAATTTGCTAACCAATCGCTGGCCAGAATGAGCGAAGTGCAATTTCACTATCGGTTCCTCAAAGGCGGAGTGCATTTGGTATCACTCCGTCTGTGACAGGAGTCGGCGTTATAGAGGAAGCATCGGCTTATGCGGCTCTGCTCCCTCAGGTGCCGCCTCACTTCCTTTAGCGCTGGCTTCGCTGGCACCGCTGATTCTCTCCTGCCTCTCCCACGGCTCTTCAAGTTCACCCTTATGCCACCACCAGCCCTGCGAATGGTCACAACTAGGTCTTTTTTTCGGGGTAGGTCTTATATTTTAGCAATTCCCAAAAATAGTACTAGGTCTTATTTTTGGGGTAGGTCTTATTTTCGGGGAAACAGGGCAACATGAGACACTGTGACATACCACACAACTCAAAAAGAAACAGACTTTACTCCCTATGCTGTGCTTTATAAATGTGCTGGAGGATTTTTTTTTCCTAAAGCAGTGGCATGGCTGTGGTTAGGCCACATTTGTCTTGGTCTTTTCTCTGGACAGCACTGTGTTTCTCTGAAGAGAACTGAAAGACATCTAACTCACATTAAACCAACTTGTGCTATCTAATCTTAAAGCTGCTCTCTTACTGCTGCCCATAGAGTGCAATATCTTGCTACTGCCTACCCATTTCTGCCATTGATTGCAATATAAAGAATCACTGCTGGAGCCAAATCTACCAGGATGGCAGTTCAATGATTCCCACATGTGTAGAGTGTAAATAATGTAAAATGGACCTTAATAAAGGAAAGACCCATTTCTGACCAGAATATGAAACAATCTCCTGAGAGTAGTTTATTATGTATAATATTGTATGTGACCCTGTTAATTGTATGTATCCCTTTTAATTTGGGAAACCAACTCCAAACATTTAAAAATATATCAATATGATATTTTTAATAGGGTTTGGCAACATAAATTGATTTTAATTTGATTTAACAAATATTGTATATAGAAATGTTATTTAGATTTCTCACCTCTGTTTGCACCAGATAATTCCTCTGTGACCGAATATGCTTTAGAAAGCCAAAAATGTTTACTGTTCCTTCTTGCTGAATTTGCTGCAACATACTATCCAAAACTATGTATGTTCCAGTCCTTCCCACTCCAGCACTGCAGAACAAAGCAATAGAAGAAATTAACCGGAGTTTAGAAAGGGGCAATATTTAAGTGTTTTTGAATTCAACAGGTTTTTATTCTTGTAGAAATAAATGCACAGGTGTTGAAAAATAAGATTTATTGGTGGAAAATGATTATCAGTGTTTCCACACAAAACTGTGCATTGTAGTAATGATTCTATTATGCAAACTTAAATAAAAGGCTCCACAATGCATTTTTAATAGAACACCCAATCCAACTAAGCTTCATAATAAAATCCCTTCTACTCACATGCATATTATTTTAGGTGTAAAGTAATAGAGGTTTTGTGTAAATGTATACTGCCCTTGGTACTAATAAAATGTATTATAATCCAACTTCATGTAGTATCAGAATATCTTGTATTTGTTGCAAGAAAAGAAGAAGGACCACAGACAAACTTAGAGAGAACTCAGTGGAGCTGGATCTATAAGAGTCAGACTGACAGGGTGCGCATAATTATAGAGTATATACCCTACATGCCTAAAAATATTTATCTTGTAAAGCAAAAATGTAGGGGTCTATTCACGAAGCTGCAGAAGGATCTGGCCGTAGCTTCGACCGATCCTTCGGCTAGCTTCGGCCCCAGGACCCCTTCGGTTCAGTAGAACCAAAGGGGTGCTGTACGGGCTATTCACAATAGCCCGTACAGCTCCCGATCATGGC